GTACTTAGTGCAAATAAGTAATGTGCACCAATTTTATGTTAAAATTTATTTGTGTATTTTTAATTGTCGGCTGTAGAATTAACATGAGAATCTTTTTGACCTTGTTCTTGATCTGTTAACATTTAGGTTATGTTATCTTTATGATAAAGTAATGGGAATTATTTTTTATGTATTTATCATTGGCCTCATGTAGGTGCTTGTCACATGACAAGGGCTCATACTCAACTCAGTAATAAAGAAAAAAGTGAAAGCCAACAAGCTTTGTATATTTTAACAAAACAATTTATTTCCATAGACAACAATGTAAAACTTGGTAAGTAGGACTTAAAGTTTGTGATTATAATCCATAATTGGATCATAAGAATGAAAACACAAGTCCTATCACTAAATAGTCCTATTAGAATCCAGGTTTTAGTCCCGACAACGTACAAATAAGGAAGTTGATGACATCAGATGTGGTCCAATGTAAGGATATCAACAATTCCTCACTTTAATCACTGCCTTTGTTTCCGAATAATTCCAGAATAAATTTCCATGAATATTGTTCAGAATTTTTATAAAAAGTCAACTTGCTGAGATTCCAGGAAAACAAATTATTAAATCAAAAAATCAGATGAAGAACAAACAATCTGGCAACAAATAAAACAAATACACCTTGTTCCTTCAAGATGTTAGAATGACTCTCCCAAAGAATATTAGATATGTGTATTTAAAACCCCAAAACATCATTTCAAGTTTAACAAGATTGGTCATGTGGTTTCTTACTACACTAACTTTAGCATGTATGCCAATTTGTCCCCTCTTAAGAAACAATCATAAAAGACGATGTTTGCACATAGTCATTACACAAAGACAGTATCTCCCTGCTTCTGACCAGTCATTTTAACTTCCTGTTGACACTTTTGCCATGCTGCATAGGATAACTTGAATAGTTTTGTGTGACAGATAGGAGACACATATTGTACGACATTGTTTATAAACACATGGATGACAGCAAAATGACAGGAAAGATTAGCAGCTGCATGTCTTAAATGTATTTGCATGATTGGCTTGGTGTGTCTTTATGATTGACCTGAGGGAGTGGTTTTAGACTTGCTGTGCACTCTTGCTAAAATAAAGTAGCCAACATCAATCGATTACAGACAGGTTTATTAGAGACATAGGTACTTTCACATGTGTATTATTCTGTTGTTGTTGTTGTTCTGGGGCTTAATGCCATTTTTCAGCACACAATAGGCTATACATTGCGGACAGTATTAATGGTGGAGGAAGAAACTGGGAAATCCACGGAGAGAACCACCACCACACAAGAAGCTACTGGCAAGCTTTCTCACAAATCCACATTCGCGGAATCTTAGCCTCGAACTCACACAGATAGAGGTGAGATGGCAGTGATCCGTAACGAAGAGCGCTTTAGACCACTCTGCCTATCAGGGTCCCATTTTATCCTGTTAGGCATACAATATCATACATTTACAAAGTTCAACAGCTGCTAACTAGAGATGATGTCATATTGTAAAAACACATACAGGCAATGTCCAGTTTAAGTGCAATTGTTCAGGCACACCTTTATGAGTTGCTGGATGTCAAAATTTTTAAATATTAATTTTTATTTTTAAAATTCAAATTTGTTTTTAATCATTTCTGTACTTACTGTTACCACATTTTTTTCCCAAATCATGTTATAATGAAAAGCACTATAATGATAAAGAGCCGTACTCAGTTCAGATGTTGCAAATTGATGTTCATTGTCAAATACAGCAGAAACTTTTCAGAGGATCCCAGTAAGAAAATCCTGTGGGCGGCAGAGAACAATAACTTAGATGTGGTGCAATCACTGCTAGTTGATGATCCTGAATTGATTCATGCCAGAGATGCTGATGGATACACCCCCCTTCACAGGTCATCCTACAATGGACATCTGGAAATGATAGAGGTCATGACAAAGAAAATTCTCATTTCAAAATATAGTCTTATTTTTGTTTTTTGGACTGCATGGTATCATGTATCTAGCAGTGATAAAATTAAGGACTTTTTAGAGAACAATTAATTGCAGTTCATTAAAGTCTATCGATAAATCTGAATGGAGTTGAAAGGGAAAAATTGGGGTCAGATCAGAAAAATATAGACTGTACTAAGACAGTCATGACTTTTGCTGAAACGAATAAATTCTTGTAAAAGATGATTAATAAACAATACAAGTTATGAAATTTAATTTTACATTTTAATCAGTTATGTTTATATACAGTTGGGCTTGTTTAACAGCCACTTAAGGATAGTGTGATTTCAGTGAACTGATTTGGTAAAGCATCATTTTCAGTGAAATGGCCATTTAATAAATTACATGATCAGGTTTGTTTTCAGTTCAGTTAATCACCATTTCCTCCTTTTGAGACTGAAGGATTTGACCAAAATAACCCCCATTTTGGCAAGAAATAATGTGGCAGATTAATTACTAATTGATCATTGATTGGTTAGCAGAAACTGATGACTGATCATTCAATTTTATCAGATTACCAACACTATTCAAACATAGTCTGAATAAGCAGGTGGTCCTATACAGATAATTTGTGTATGTTTCTGTGTGTGCATGTTTATGAGTAACCTCTGCAACTCAGTCTGTATATACAGATAATTTGAGTATGTTTCTGTGTGTGCATGTGTATGTGTAACCTCTGGAACTTAGGCTGTATAATTATGCAGGTTTTTATAATGAAATAGCCACCATAGAAGATTTCGTGTTCAATTACCAGCTGAATAAATAAAGAGAGGTGTGATTGACACATACAGGCTGTACTAAGTCATAGAGAAACGGTTAAAACTTTGTTGTAGTGTTTCTGTAAGATATTTTGAGATATAATAGATTTGTCCTCTATTCAAGAAACTCCAGTAAGTGGAATCCAGGTATTAACAGTTTCAAAATGTGAACCTACAGGATTAGAGGGTTTTCCACCCAAGATTAAGGGTGGGCTTCTGTCCCACTATCATTCACTGTTTACAAAATTATGTTTGAAATTTTTTTTCTTCATTTTTTCACACTTTGCTCCTTTATGTTGTATATTTATGGTAATACTGACTGTGATCATATGACTATGAACTGGCTTCAGCAAGACAAGGTGATTTTACCTCAAGCAGCATAAAAACAATTAACGCCCTTTTGATTCTGTCATTAAGCTCAGTTGGCTTCAGTGTTTTAAGTTTGTCAGCATGGATTATACTATGTATGATCATAATTCTGAAAAGATTAAATAAAATAATTGATCATGGTTGGAATACTAAAGAATAAGCATGAAACTGGGTCAGTTTGACTTTCGTCTTTAAAATTTGTATCAATGTCTAACTGTACATGATCTCACGATGCTAAAAAATTAATATCAATGCAGCTAAAATATGACATGAAATTCAGTGATGAATGGACATGGGAATTTCATTGGTAGGAACATATATATGCATTATTCCCTTCATGTAAAGCTGATTGTTTGAACAAATTAGGACCATTGCTCACTAGGTCTTAAAAATAAGAGTTTGTCGTAACCATGGAATTAACAAAAATTGTTCATTCATGGTACATGTATTTAGAATTAAGTGGGGCAAAAAATAAGTATATAGGTAAATCTATTTGGCAGATGATTGCTTATAATAATAAAAAAAGAGTATTTTAATCTATTTAAAGTTTTAACAGTATGAAGTTATGATTTGACCCAAGGCATTTTTAAAGGTGCAAAATATTAAAATAAAATTTGTGCATTTGCTTCTTATATATATATATATATATATATATATATATATATATATATATATATATATATATATACTGTTTTATGTAATCCAGTGAAATGATCATGTATTTTACTGACAAATATAAATGATGTTCCATCCTATCAGGTCTTACTGGCTCATGGAGCAGATGTACACGCAAAGACTTCAGATGGATGGCATCCTCTTCACAGTGCCTCCAGATGGAACCAGGCTGATGTGGCTATGTTGCTTCTCCAGAATGGAGCAGACATTAATGCCCAGACTAATGGTGGGCAGACTGCTTTACATATAGCATGTTCAGATCCAGAAAACAGGGAGGTTGTGGAGGTACTTCTCTGGAACAAAGACATTAATACCAGTCTTCAAAACAGCCTTGGTGAAACAGCCTTAGATATTTGTAAGAGAACTAGTAACCTGTGTGAACTTTTTGAAATGGTGGAGGACAGTGTGAATATGTTAAAACAACACTATTGAATTCCTGATTGCTGTTGGTGTAGATGCGTAAAATTGTAATGTAGACATGATCTCTTCTTTACGTAAAAGTTGTGATCATCAAAAATACAACATAATGATCATGCAAGAACTCAGTGGCTGTTGTCCTCTTCATCCGTATAATTGTTCATTGATACACCAGTCAGTTTATGAATGATCTGATTTTATACTATTTGAGACATAATATCTTACAAGTAGGAATCCTTGCAACTAATGAAGGTTTCTTGTATGCCTTCAAATAACTCATGCTTACATTTTTCATAAACTTATGATCAGCATAATCATTGTTTGCCTAAATGCATTGACCCTTTGTGAACCTAGTGAATCAGGTCCATGTTTCTCTCAGCATCTTACAATTTATTTCTCAAATTGATTTTTTAATATCATTCTTATTGCTTGGTTGGTAATGATTTTTTTCACAGACCATTCAGCATGCATCAAGAATTAAAATGCAGTCATAACATCTTGAATTTTCCTTCAACAAGTCATGCCTTATATTATATTATATTATATTATATTATATTATATTATATTATATTATATTATATTATATTATATTATATTATATTATATTATATTATATTATATTATATTGTATTATATTATAGGAAATTTTGAGGATTTCATTAAGTTAGAATTACTCAATTCTTCTTTAGTTTAAAAAAGATTTATATATGTTTAATTTTAAAACAAAAAGTGATTTTGCATCCATATAACTAGCATCTTGTTTCCTGTTTTTGTGGGGATATGCAGTAGCTTAGCTGGTAGAGCACAAGACTTGTAATCCAAGGGATGCTGGTTCAATATCCACCCAGACAAGCTGCTTGACATGAATGAAATTTACATTCTCTTTTGAACCAGAAGTTTATTGCTCTGCATAAAAGAAAGAAGAAGCAAAATTGGTGGTTGTAGGTTTTTAACAGCAACGGATATCCGCAACAAGTCTATATAGGCTGGTTGAGACATAATTCATCTATAGGTTGAATTTATGTAGAAACAGCCATGTAGAGTTTTACAAACACAATGTTTTCTCTGTTTTATTTGTATGTTTTGCCTATGTTCTGTGTATGCCTTTGAAAAAGACTCATTAAGAGTCAAAAGCCCTCAGGCTAGTTAGATACTAGTTTTTCACTGTTCGTCATCAGTTTATTGCATCTATTTCAATCAATCCCTGACACACATAAATTCTTGCTGGATCCAGTGCGCTTGAAAGCGCTGTTATTCACCATATGATTTTTATTATATATATATATATATATATATATATATATATATATATATATATATATATATATATATATATTTATACCGATGAAATATTTCACATGCAAATGTCAGTACAATTGCTTCTCCTTCAGTTGGAGGATAACGATTTTCTGAGTCAGTAACAGCGCTAGAAGCATAAGTTACTGGCAACAATTTCTCACCATGTTTTTGCAAAAGTACAGCACCAAGTCCTTTTTGACTTGCATCTGCTGAAATTCTGATTTGTTTTGTAGAGTCATAAAATTGTAATATGGATTCACATCATACTAAATTCTTAAGATCTTTGAAGCTTCTTCATGATTTGGAGTCCAGTTCCATTGATTTTTTTTGTCTAATAGAGTTCTCAATATTGATATGCAACTCGATAGGTCAGGCAGACATCTTTTCTGGTAGGTGATCATACCTAGAATTCTTTGCAAGTCTTTCTTGCATATTGGTCTCTCCATACTTTGTATGGCTTTTACTTTTCTCTGATCTGGCTTCATGCCATCTTTTGATACAACATCACCTATAAATGTGAGTTCTGGGACACTAACTATGCACTTTTCTTTCTGTAGCTTCAATTTGACCTTTCTGGCTTTGTCCAAAATTTGTCTTGGGTGTAAATCATGCTATATTTGGTCTTTTCCACATATGACAATATCATCCATTGGCGTATCAATTCCTTCAGAGTTTTCAAACAGTGTATTAATTATTTTGTGATAGATTTTTAGAGCACTTGATATTCCAGGTAATGATATCTGCTAAAAAGGTGTGTTAAACATGCTCAATTTAGAAATTACTCATCTAGTTGAGTCTGCCAAAAACCATTAGAAGCATCTAATTTTGTAAACACTTTTTGCTTCTGCAAAGCTTGACATAATTTCTTTACATGTTAAAGTTTGAAATGTTATCTTTGGATAGCTTTATTCAGATTCCCTGGATCTAAGCAAATCCTTAACTTTCTGTTTGGCTTGTTACCCACTCAGTAGGCTCTTCCACTTTTCTTAATCTAATTAAGGTCTTCCCTTTTCTGAAGTTCTGCTTTCAATGTATCATGAAGTGCAAATAGGACTTTTCTGCATGCAGTAACAATTGGTTCTGCATTCGCTCTAAGCTTTATATTAATTTTGTTTTGTAAAATTTCAGGACTGATCTGCATATTCCTCAATGATATCAATCTTAGGTTTATTTTCTAATTTTTCTTACAAGGTAAATACAAGTTTGACTAACTTCATTGTATCACAAGAACTACATACAAGAAGTGGTCAGACATCACTGTCATTATGATAGATTGGGTTGTGTACATTGACCTTTTACTGGGATGTCTCTTCCATTATACACCTTCAGTTTAATGTTGCTTCATTGTTAATCTTGAACTGTGCTTTATTTGAAGGGAGTCCAATAATCTAAGTATGTTGATATCAACACTTTTGTCAAATTTTATAGGCATAACTGTCATTGACATTGATTGGAATAATCCATAGACTGTTTTGTTCAGTGTGATCCACTGTATCTATGAACAATTCTTTTTTAGTATCAACTGAAAGAACCTTTCTTGAGTTGCTGTGTATTTGATATTTACCATTCTGTGACTGGACTTTTTATATTTTGTTGCCATTCTGTAGCAGACTTTATGAAAATGGTTTCTTCTTCCACATTTTTTGCATATTCTGCCATTTGCTGGACAGTATCATCCTCTGTGATTCAATCCACACTTTGTACAGTAAATGAATCTCTTGATTTCTATTGCTGTTTTCTGTAATGTTGTTTTGAGGCTTAGCTCTTTGTTGGCTTCCTATCTTTTTCACTGCCACAATGGATTTATTTGTTCCATGGTAGAGATTGTTTTCATTCTTATTGTTGTGGTTTTGATGCATCATTCAAGTGATGAATCTTTTTCTCTTTCCCATTTATGATCATCATTATCCCTTTACTAATTCTGTCAGGTATTAAACCATCTTTTAGGATACTAATTCTGCAATCTTTTGCTTGGATTCTTAAATCTGTCAGAAATTGATTGAAGCTTTCTCCAGAATTGTGTAATCTGCTGTTGAAAACATGGTTCTCATAGGTCTCATGTTTCTTGGGAAAAATATTCATCAAATTTCTGCATCATATGCTCCATTTCTGTCTTCCTCCTCCTTGTCAAAGGAAAATATATTGAATAATTCCACTGCAGCCTCACCAGCTAATACTATAAATTTATGTTGCACTTTTTAAATTTTCTGGTCTTTTTCAGTAGCACACATATACAGCTTATATTGCTGCAACCAGCATCTCCGGTTTTCAGCAACATTATCTATGGTGTCTGTGGTTCTGGGATCTGTTCCATCTTTTTTCATTCATGATGGTGTCAAAATTCTGACACCATGTAATGATTTCAATAAGTCCGTTTTAAAGACTATAGCGCTAAATACCTCAAGATTCTATTAGATATGTGTTTACAGTTTGAAACCAGCTACTAAGCTCCCTCACTTGTTAAGCAGCACTACAATATGTTTCAGTAATAAGATATTTGTGTGGAAACTCTAGACCTAACTGAGAACTGGGTAATTTAACATTAAACAGACTTGAGAGGCAGGAGTAAGATATACCATATACATACCATTACACCTAGGTGAAATCATAGGTCATTACTTGCATTTTTGTACTTCATAAACTGACTTGTACATATACAGGTGAATGTTGACTAGACATTGTAATAAGTTGCAGTCAACGGAACAAGTTGATAGTCAGCACTCTTCTGACATTGATTATAAGCTTAAAGATTACAACTCATGACTACTGGCTTTCAAGCATTGCATCACAAACAAGTATGAATGTATTATTTTTATCAAATGAATATATATATATATATATATATATATATATATATATATATATATATATATATATATATATATATATATATATATATATATATATACACACACATACATACTCACATACATACATACATACATACATACATACATACATACATACATACATACATACATACATACATACATACATACATACATACATACATACATACATACATACATACATACATGGTATGATATGACTTAAATAGCTCATTTTTATTAAAAAAAACCCCTGAGATTTAATTAAACTTAGCATTTAGGAATAGCTTTGTCTGATTTTCTATCCATGCTATCAGCTTCAAGGTCAAAGTCCATACAAAGAATTCAATACTGCTCTTACAGATATTGTGAACATGTTAACTGTGACATGTAAGAAAATATTTTCTGGAATTTCACAAGAATATCAGAGATGGTTTCAGTTCTCAGAATTTAAAATGAATAAAAGGACAGATGAAATGGACTTGCTTTGGATTCATGTAAATTTATTTTAGCCTGTAGAGTGGAAGTCTCTTGTAGTGATACAGTTTTATTTGATGTCTGAATTAATATTGATATTTATTGATAAGGGTAATACTGATAATAAATTGAAATTAAAACATTTCTTCTGTAACTTGATGTATTTTTGTCCTTGAATACTTGCATATTGGGAGAAATGGGTTATGAAGAGTGCCAGTAACTTTAGCCTAGAAATAACCATAGACTTATGTTACAAGAAAAAAATTCTTAATACAATCATATCCCCCCCATTTGATTAATTTAGCATGGAGAACATCTTAATCAAAATCCAGGGGTTTTAGGTTTGATACTCAGCCAGAACAGTCATGGTCAGTTGCCTTATTATGTCCTGGGAAAGGCACTTCATTTATTTTACATGATACAGCCAGTAATGAGTTAAAATGCTTTGAAAGCCAACAAAATCCTATAGCTTTTGAGAAGAAAACTCTAACCAGATCAAAGTAAGCGAAAAATAATTTAGTTTGCTAAATTTAGTTTCTTCCTGTGTTTGATACTGTTATTGCTTTGCAGTATTTTTAATAGCATCAATGCAATGTCTGATTATTGCATTGCTCTGTCTTTATCTAGTGCTAGTCCTTAATCCAAGGACATTATTCCCTCCTAAACTAACTGTAAAACTACAGATTCCCAGTCTTAGTCCACTTCTAGTAGTTGGAAATATCCTGCTTCTGTTTCCTGGACTTTGTGCAGTGTTTTGTGTGCTTGGCGCATTATAGTCCACCACTTGAGTTATCTTGGCACTTCTTCTGTCAGTTGGATCAATTTTGTGCTGTATTTGGAAACCTAATATCAGTAATACACAGCATGTTGCTATTATGTAGCTTGTTCTTTTCTGGACAGAAAATATCCTGTGATGAAAATTCATTCTCTTTTAGGGTGAACCAGAAGGTTCTAGAATACTAGACTGACTTTGGTCCTATACCTTGCCCATGCTCATCATCTTTTATTCTTTTTCTTGTCCCTGACATTACGGCTTCTGTATTTATGTTGAAAAAGAATTGCCTTTGCTTCACAATGTAGAATTCCCTAGATCAAGAATTTTTTATCTCAAGATGGAATTGCAATTTGTTCAGGTACACATCTTTATACTACCTTGAAATTAGATCCACAACTCACAGGGATGTTAGCATACTAATTTGGTTGAGAATTATCTCTTAGACTGTCATTGTACTGTCCAAGAGGGTAAGCTGTGAG